TTCGTCATATGAGCCTTTGCAACTTTTGTTTTTTCTTTACTCGAGCGGCATCAGTTGTAGTGTCAGTGTATAAGTTGGACAAGTAATGAGGTGACGCAGTGCCCAGTAACCGATACCTATAAACTAGGGGGCATAGTTACAAAGGGAAGAGATTATCTCACTTATCTTTGAAGCTCGCCGAACATAATGTATCTGCAAGCTCTGACGCATGGGACTCCACCCCTGAACCATGATCAAACCAATCCCCTTGCAGGTAAATGAGGGCGAAGAGAGAGTCTCTCAAAGCAATAGTCTTGGGCCCTACATCCCGCATCGAAGTCCTTTCATTGTTACCTTCGGGGGGCGAAGCGAAAGGTGAGCCAGCACAACTCACCAGCTCCTTCCCCTTCCTTCAACAAGCCCAGGAGAACAGTGAACTGCTCTCGGGCTCGACACTATGGCCCACATCACCACAATCAGACATGGGGTTCATGGTCACAGCCTCCATGTTCGACCGAACCCCAAAACTTCCCTTCTAGAGATCAATATCCTGGTTTCGACCCTGTCCCTCTCTGCTTGGTCAATAAAGCCAGATGCGTCAAAATGAGGACCCTCATGATCGCTGATCTACTCTTCATACGTAGAACAATTGGCATCAGATCTTAGGATGAAATGAGTCTGAGCATTGCCACCCCTACGTCACCTGTCGGAAGGTAAGTTTTTCATTCAGTTAAAGTTAACTCGCCCGTCAAGATTCGTTGAATAATGACAGTTGTTTCGGAAGTAGAAGTACGAATGTTCGAACCTGGGGTCTTTTTCAGAGCTTCATTTTCCCCTTCTTTCATAGGTTTTCTTCCCACTCGGCTCCTTCATAGAAGCCTTAACCGCTTTGTTGATCTAGTGCTTCGATTCTTCAACATCAAATGTGGCACATAACTCCCGGGTCATCTTATTATACTTGCTTGAATTCAAAACCTTGTTACTTATGTCCTCACGGATATATTGAACAACAAAAAGACTCTTCCCTTAGTCGGACAACGCAAAGCCTCGCATTAGGGGAGGAATCTTCAGTCGCTTATACGGCTCGACAGATGGACGAGTAAGAATCCCCTAGTCTTTCGTTAAAGCCAAGAGGAAATTGCACTTCCAGTCAATGACTTTATTCTCAAGATCGATCAAGCGGATTTTCCTGTTCAAAGTGAAATTCACCTAACCGTCCAGGTCAACTTTGAAGAAAAATGCATGGAAAAAAGCTCCGAGACCAAGTGATCTCTATCCCGCGGCAGTAAATGATGAAATTCATGACTTCCACTATGCAGAACGTTGTAGTGATTCAGAATAGCTTGAAGCTCGCGGACCTAGAACAAATTGATCACAGTACAACACAAGTTGTCCCGCAAAAGCAGCAATAACCCGATTATTCGGACCCAGGGCCTCTAGCACAATGTCATCCTTGTAAACATATCACCTCTAGAGCCTTAGAAACTTCGATAGCGGTCAAACAGAGCGCTCTGATGCCAGCACTGTCCCAATCACCTAGGCCAAGTATTTGGAAGCCAGGCGAACGCTCAACAGAAGGACAAAAAGGAAAGCGATGACCAAAGTGTAAAGAAAGAAAAAGTGACATTTAAAAGGAACTCCAACCCTATTTATAGGGTTCGAATGAAATTTAAAGCGTAGCCGCCCTCACCTCAGGAACACAAATTTTTCATCACATCACAAGAAAAATAATAAAATATTTACATAAATAAGAAAATTGAAATACAAGAAACGTAAATATATATATATTCATTCAGATAGGAAAAAATTTTACAACCAGCTCGTGGTTGCCTACACCAAAACCAACCCTCACCTCAACAGTTCCTTATAGAAAACTCAACCACCTAACATAAATTTATTAACACCATCAACTTTGGCTTAGAATCAAGAGACTGAGCAAGCCTTCCTCAAATCATACAGCTCCATTCGGCCTCGATTCAGTCTAACGGTCCGACACCTAAATTCGTCAGTTGAGAAGCTCGGTCGACATCATCTCGGAGAGAGCATCGAGCTGCACCTTCAGCTCCTTTCTATTGGCTTCTCGCTGGTTCTCAACCTCTTTCCGAGCTTCGACTTTGCGAGCAAAGAAGTTCACCGTCGCATCTATGTGGCGAACAACGGAGTCGGCCGAGTCTCTCACCGATCATCAACGAATTCCCCACAATCTTCAAGGAGTTGGGGCTCAACCTTCAATAGCCACTGGTGAATCTGAGACACGAATCGAGTGAGAAGCATAGTAAAAAAGAAGAAATCAGGTTGAGCAAAGTGCAGCCACTTCAATCCAATAAATCAAATAATTGAACTCGTATTAGGAAGTAAATCCAGCTCAGACTAGTAAAGACGAGAAGCTCTCAACAGACACAGGTGGAACTATGCCGTCCTCATCCCTCTGATTTGAGAAGGACCGGTTGCGTCTTTATCTCTTGGAGGACCCTCAGAGCTTCGTTGAGCATCTTTTGCCCTCTTGACCAAAGGGCTTAGCCAACACTCCAGAAGGGGGAGTGCTTAGACCTTTGTCTGACATCCAATGAACCGGGGGAACAACGTTGAACGACTCGTGCTCATCATCATCCTAGCATGAACCCAAAGGTCCCTTCTTGAAGGCCAATTGCTTCACTCACTTCTTCATGGCAGGCTTGCTGCCCTCATGATGTTTTCCTCGGTCACGCACCGCTCTACCCTCGGGATGACGACGTTTCGCGAGAATGCTTGGAGGAAAGATCTTATCAGCCTGAAGTTGAGAAGTCTTCATCAAGATGTCATCAGATGGATCGCCAGACTGAACTTTTCCACTCGCCATCAGAGAGCCCTCCACCAAAAACGCCAAAGCCTTTGACATAAGAAAAGTGGAGGAGCAAGGGTCGTCAGTAACAACCTATATATAGGATGACAACACATAGAAAACCAAGGAGTTTGATTATTAAATATTGAATATAATATAAATGAATTTAATGTGGCATTTAATTTTGGACTTAATTTTCCTATTTTATCTAGCCATCACTTTCAAAATACAGGAAAACTAAGAAACTAAATATGTATGACAGGATCTCGACAACACAAACCATGAGGGAAAAATGTAGATACATAACAAATAAAGTGGGGCCCACGGTCAAGTGACACGAGATCAGTCAAATGTTGATTAATTTTATCGAATGACACACATCAATGTTAAGCCAAAGAACAAGGCACCTCAAAGGTCCTAACAACTTATTCTCATCAGCTAATAGGCCGACCGACACGTGGACGAATAAAGAATAAATTCACATCCAGCCAAATAAAAGACAATTCTATGACGGGCTGAATGAAAAATGACTCTACAGTCGGACGAATGAAGGACGACTCAACACCATGCAAACTACAGAGATGGGTCTTATAACGAAGCGAACCCACCAGTGAATTTAGCTGGAGTCCTCTATGCAATCCTCACGTGATTCGACTTGCTATCATCAAGAGAATGACCAAAAATGACGATCGGATATCATCACAATCGGCCAACAAATTCTTTATTAATATATTTTCAATTATTTGTATATTGTACAAATGACCTTGATACCCTTCAGCCTCTTCGCGTAAGATGGGCAAAAAATGTAATTATGTACTTGAGGTATCTCCAACGCCTATAAATAGGAGTCCACTTCATGAGAAAAGAACTAGATACTGTATTTTTTACTGTTCACTTCCTTTTTGCCTCCTATCCTCTCTCAACCTCACATTCAATCCCGTGCAAGGTTCAACAAAACGTTACTAAAATAATAGATAAAAAAGGTTAAATAAAACTTCTCAAACAACATAAATTATACTGAATCATGGGCAATATCTTCCTTTTCAAATTTCATTTGTATGACACAATGATTCTGCCGAGATTTTAATTTTGGCTGCATTATTTGTCTTATTAATTTTTTGATTAAAAAAATTTCATTATACCAAAAAAATATTTAAAAATATAATTATACACGTACATAATTTTAATGACTACATGAATATATAGACTCTACATAACAATGATTCTGCCGAGATTTTAATTTTAGCTGCATTATTTGTCTTATTAATTTTTTAAATAAAAAAATTTCATTACACAAAAAAAATATTTAAAAATATAATTATACATGTACATAATTTTAATGACTACATGAATATATAGACTCTACATATTCATGTAGTAACTTATAGATTTGGTTATTAAATAGCTAGCAAAAATTAATTGTATGATAATAATAAATAATCTAATAAATAATAGTATATATTTAATATAAATAATTTACGAAATATAAAGTGTCCATAGCATAGCATGTCTTGCTTTTTGCAGTTATGTCATATTGTTGTGTCTGTCATATTGTGTCTGTGTTTGTGCTTCAAAGAAAGCTCCCATCAAATAACAACAGTGAAAAATCCTGGAAATGAATAAGATCATGTCAGCTAATGCCGCTAAGTGTCTTTAAATTATCCGGCACATTAAAAAGAATAAAAGCAAGGCCTACAGTATACCGCGTGCAGCAAAGAAATATAACAAAAGAATTAAGTAATATCGGCATTGCCACTAGGTCACACACTTATAAGATGAATCAACATATCTGTATAGAAATCCTGACTCATCTAAGAGAGGTAAAGGCAAACACAAACATTTTTTACATTACTAAGGACAATTGTAAACCTTGAACCTCCATAATAAAGCTGTGTCGCACTTCAGAATTTGTCCCAAGTAGAAACTATTTTCTGATATTATTAAAGCTCTAACATGAAAATGGCTCAACTCTTTTCCATCGTTAATTTTCAGTTGAAGCTATGTGCGTAAAACTAACTAGGATGAACCAAACACCGTTTCAACACAAGCATGTGGAAGGATTTCGCATGCAACACAATTGATCCAGACAAATGTCACCCCTCAAGATCTCAGAAAAACATTATGTAGAGCACAAAAAAAATATGAAACATAGAAAGTAAATCTATCAAGTATATTGCAAATTTTAAAACCAGGAAAGAACCTGGAGCATATTTGCAACATATTTTTGTTCAGCAGCATCCTTCTCAGAAAACATGCGAGCATCTTCTGTTACTTTCTGCTCTTGTTCAACCCGCATCAAGACCTATAGTTATTAGTTTGCTAATATGAGGACATAAGAAAGATGCAGAAGATCAAATATGGAAGAAGCAGATTATTGTATAAAGTAATAACAAGAGAATTAGATGAAAGTAATTTGACACCTGAAGCATGGCTTGTTCTTGTTCTTGTTTGTCTGTAAGAGCTTGCCACAACTCTGATATCTCTTTCTCCAACCGCTCAACCTATCCAACAAATAATCAGAATAGAAAGAACTAGAATCTGAAAATGTTAAATAAACTGCAACAGAATCTATGAACAAGGAAAAATAAAAAAACCTGCTTCAGTGCAACTTTTGAAATTTTTAGGAGTTCATAAAAATCAAGAAAATTTAAATTTTAAATTTAGAATATCATTGTTGGGATTCAGATTCGCGGGTAAATACCCCAATCCAAACCATGTAATCCATTTTTTATGGCTGGGATTGCTTATAGTTATTTTCAGAACTATTGTGGTTTTGAAAAAATGTGATTGGAAGGGACCGAATCCTATTGTTGATAACATCCACATGGGGAGCATAGAAGATAGAGGGCATCTTTGGTTGGCTACAATGTTAGCGTAAAGGGTTAACTATAAAAAAAAAACATCTCAATATTTGGTGCAAGTGTTTAAGATAACTTTTGTGTTTGTAGAGTTAAAGCACATGGTCAACTAAAAAAGTTTAGATGGTTTACTATATAATCATTGAAAACTATGGAAACATGAACATACACCGATTACAGAAATAGTAAAATTAGTTTGTCTTATGGATGAAGTGGTAGGAAACAAAGTCACCAAAAACCAGGTGATTGCAGTAAATGAGTCCGTTCAGAGGGATCTGATAAAACTATTATGAATCAAGTGTAAAATGAATATATCAAAGAGATTGACAGAACAGTAGTAATTTAAGATAAGGCTATATAAATAAACTTTCATGATTAGAATATGAAACAGGAAAAATATGCACTAACAAGGGGAACGGACATAATATGGAAGGAATACTGCTAAAAGAATAAAAAGGAGTTCAAAGATATCAGGGCATTAAGCTGTTCAAAGAGATAATTAAACCCAACTTAACACGAAACGCAGCACTAAACATGATTGAAAGGAGAAGAAAGAGTTATAAAGGCAAACTAACATACTCGGAATGAGGCTATAACAACGAGAATAATGGCCAGTTTACCAAGAGATCAGTATTCTCTTAAATTTCTATTAAGTGATGTTTCATTGTCGGGTAAATTCACCTGTCAAGAAATCATTCGATCGTGAAGGTAAATTTCTGAAAACGATAAAATTAAATCTTGAATAAAATAAGTTGATCCTTACAAATACATTATATTGCTTAAAAATAATTACAATATAACTCAGAAGCATCAGTAAATTCATCTATAGGTTCAATTTCCAAGACTATTTCATTAGTAAGTTATTAGTTTCAAATTCACAATGCAAAATCATCCGAATCTAATTAATTAGCCAATAATCCTTAACTAATACTACCACAAATAATAAATCATAACTATTTTTTAGCATTCATGTCAGTCTTTTAGAAATGTCCAACTTGAGTATTTTCTACTTTTAATATTTTTTCTATCTTTAGAGTATTATATTGTTGGTAAGTTTTAATTTCGGTTTCTTTTTTCCAGCATTGGGATTTTATGACTGATTTTATTGCTTTCCTAATTTGATGGTCTTTCCCTGTTATATACCTTCGAAATGTTCCTTATAGAAATGAAAAGAAATAATTATATTTTCCTTCAGCCAAAATTACATGTTATCAGAGTTATAATTGATTATCCATTTGTCACATAAAATTGTCTTCCTCTAAGTAAATTAACCAATTCTCACGTGCCATTTTTCTCAAGAGCATTCATTTCCTCAAAAACAGTCTCCTTCCACTTAGGAACTTTCAGAGCATCCTACACATTATTAGGTATAAGACAATTGTGAGGCAAAAACACAGAAAATGGGTGAGAGATTTTCATATGACACATGATGGGATAATGGTTGTGGGGTGCAAGATCTCACCCCTTTAAAAGCAACAATGGGAAGCCTAGAATCATCAAACTCTGAAATAGAACTAGGCTCAAGTTTAGGACAAAAAGACTCAAAACTCGAATATGAAGTTGACTATACATGGGGTAAAGGCTCAGTGAGGACTTTTGACTGTTAAATTAATTAAAAAAAAAATTAAAATAAATAAAGACTAACTACTCCCGCATTTTGATGCCCTGACGGTTTCTGATGATTCTCGTATCTCCTTATTTTTCTCTTCATTTCTTAAAAATAGCAGGGGACACTATACAGAACATGGAAACTCCCCTTCTTCCTCCTTGAGACGCAATTCACAAGCCAGTCACAACAAGAGGTAGCAGAAAAGGCAACGAGGGATCTCAGCACACAACGATCATTGAAACTCCCTTCTCTCTCCTATACGTCATCTCCAGAACAAAACCCTCGTGACACACTCGCGATTGGAGCCTACAAGAAGCCAGCAATGAGATCAGTGCATACAAGGCATCTAAAATTTATATTTTCCTTCCCTGTATGTGTGACACTAGACCACAGTCACGCCTAAGGCAAATTAAAGAGGACAACAATATCGTTGGGGACGAAGATGCAGAGAACTTCTCGGATAGAAACGCGTGGCAAGGGTTATTCTTGAAGATGACGATGAGCACAGAGACCTCGAAAACTCCTTTGCTCCTAAATATATTGTAGTTACAACTAGCTTTGGAGACAATGAAGAGATCGTGACATACATAAACCTTCAAAACTCACGTGTTTCTCTCTTGTGCTTCTCGACTAAAGCTAAAGGGAAGAGCAACGATATGGAATTGCAAAGCACGAGGACCTTCAAAATTTCTCATTTCTCTTTTGCACCCGAAAAAAACCAACGATGGATTGTAGCATATAATGACCTTTTCAACTCTCATTTTTCTGTGTTTCTCAAAAGACAGCCGAAACAAACGCCCTCATGAAAAGCAATGATGGGATCACAATGTACGGAGACCTTCTAAAATTCATATTTCTCTCCTGCCTCGACCCTACTACATGACACCAATCCAAGCCCAAACCGAGGCCGAACAATCTCTACCTTGATCTGCAAGTCATACCAACCCTCGTCGAAGCCCTTTCTGATCTTATTCTTTTAAAAAACCGCACGTTAAACATTAACCTATCTTTCTTACCTATGATCGTACATTTCCAGCTTTGCTGGACTCCTACGCTTTTTATAGTCCTAACTGAAGACTTGGCTTCTTGATCAAACCCTCAAGCCCATTTCAATCCAAGCTAAGCCAAATAGCCCCCTTTGCTCCAAAAGAAAAAAGCAAACAAAATTTTGGTTTTTAATATAAATACATAAATATATATATATATATATTGAAAAAGCCCAAAGGCTAATATATTAAAAGAGAGAAGGTACAAATTGGTTGTATCAGAGGGCACAAAAAAGGCACCATACCTACACGGTATACAGCGCACACAAATGATCCCAAAAAAGAAAAGTACATGTAGACCCAAAAAAAACCAAAACTGTCAAACAATTGCAGTATCAAGTAGCTAGAGAACGACCTATACATCTGTCTCTTATTCTAGGAAGAGAGTCAACTAACAAATTGTTAAGTTTAGTGTCATTACCCGAAACAATCAAAGTATCATCCATTAAGTTTCTGAGTTCGAGCAGACCTCCATTTTTCTTCTTTCTCCTGAATGTGTAAATATGTCATTCCTCATCAGATGACTGACTCAACAGGTCAGTGTGTTGGTCGAAAAAATGTTGGGCATGTAAAGACTGTTGCACATCATGAGCCCCTTGCATCTGACTAACAGTAACAACTTGCTCGGTCTGAAGAGGTGGTAGAACCGCAGTAAAAAGATTGTTAACCGTTCCTTCAATGATAGGTGTCAGGGTAGGTGAAGTATGAACTGTCTCCTCTGCACCCAAGACATCCTCAAGATGAGGAGCTTGAAAGTCCTCGTGATGATCGAACCGGACATTGTCTTGTGTAAATAAAGTTCCTTGTCTCAAACAAACAGAAACAGTATTGTCAGGAGGAGAGCCTCCTATAGTAAGGGGGTTATTAGGAGGGAGAGGGAGGGAGAGGGAGGGAGAATCTACCAAAGTTTCAATAGTTGGGTTGCAGTCAGGGGTAGCGGAGAGACAGGTATGGCTCAGAAATATTTTTACTGTGAGGTTTCAAATGAGGGTATAAATGGTGACACTAAAAGTGAGAGTGTCTAAACATACGACGGTGGGTGCAGTAAAGTGGGAACTGTTCGAGTTCCACTCGCTGCCAAAAACCCTAGTGCTATGAGACAATCCAGATCTCACTCGGAAAAGGTAAAGTAATGTTTTGTTCAATCATAACTCTGGCTTCAGAAGGCCGACTCAGATTGACTGTAAAAATATCAGTTTTAAGGGATTTAGCATAAATCATAGCTAAGAAGTAGAGGAGCTCGCGATTAAAGAGATGGAACTTCAGAACTGGGAAGCGCAGCCATACAAAAATGATAGGAGGTTCAGTAAGAGAATCAAAATCGATCGTCCATTTTAAAACTTTCATCATATGGTTATCTATTCGATTGAGTCTTCTGGCAAATAAATGAACATAGTCCTCATCATCTAATAATTGGATAAGAATATACCTACTGTTCAGTTTACCAATCTTTCATTCCTCTTTCAGACGTATTTGCTCAAACTCTTTTTCGGATTACCTCAAGTTTAGGGTTTCCGTAGAAGAACTTTCCAACCAAGACTAACCGACAGGATGAAGCTAAGGTGAAGTTCTCGGCGTCAGATAAAAAGACTGCAGGCTTACCATTTTTATGGGACGCTTTTTTAAGAAATCCAGAGTCAACGCCCAATGCTAAAGTGAATGGCCAAATGGAATTATAAGAGCACCGAGCCACCCCTAATTTGCCTAACAATTCGAGTATCATCTCCTTAAGCCCAACTGTGGCAGATGGTATTCAAACCCCCAATTCGAGGGATCTTATAACGTGGATGTCAACCAATAAGTCGAGGTAAGCGACACACACACATATGGATATATATATATATATAAATACATACATACATGCATGCATGCATGCATGCATACAAACATATATATATGTGAACTCTATCCTCTATTGCCTGCCTGATCAGAAGGAGATGGATTCTAGAGCAGGCAGGGTCTGAAGAAACTCCCTCTCCCCCAGGATA